GATAATGACTTAGCGATGATACCATAAATTAATTTTTGGTTCTTGTTGATTTGTTTCTAATAACCGACAATCCAAACTTAACCGATAGATAAAATTATAGTCTTAAATGAAATTTAAACACATGCTACGTATAAACGAATCAAAGTAGACCTTTGAAGAATTGGGTATATATGTTATCTGTTGGTAAACTGTAAATTTAAATAACGAACAAGCAATAAATACGTTGTTATATGATTAAATTTATAAAGACTAAAAGAACGAGATAATGATTATTTTCTCCCAACCAATGTCATACAAATAACTAAAATTTCTTTAATTTACCGTTACGTGTAAGATACCATTTTTAATGTTCCACGCGCCACTATTCGAACTACGTATTATATCTAGAATGTCTTTATTATTGTGGCTGATAAATCCTCATTCAGAATAACAATTACCTAAACCGAACCAAAGAAAGACACAATTCTTAACTACTTATCAATATTATGTACCAAGCCACATTGAATACAAATTTCGCTCGAAAATTACGAGTGGACGTTTTTAACTTGTCGCATTATTTCCAAATAATTATTTTCTTCGTTATGTTTATGCCAACAAAGTTGTCACAATTTAAATGTTTCATTGAAAAAACCAGGCTTAGGCATTGCAAGAGATCGATGCTATTTCGTGTTTCCGGGTACTAACAAAAACAAAAAATGGATCCCAATGTTAAAACTCTTTCTACAGTAGTTCCAACACGATCATATTCACATTTACTTAAGCAATAGAACTCATACTTTTCAAAAGATCAATTATAGGCATTTTGTAACTATAGTTTGTTATTCTCTTCCGTGCATATGAATTATGCTATAATTCTCACCGTCTTTTGATCATAATTAGAGTAATAATAATAATAATAATAATAATATAGTAATATTAATATTAATATTATAATATGGTCTTTGGAAAGAAAAAAGATGAAAAATCACAAAACCAACCAAATTGTGAAAAAATCATACCAGAAGCGAATGCAAATTTCTTTTCTAAACTAATATTTCATTGGCCATCAGCGATTTTACGACTTGGATATGAGAGACCATTACAAAAAGAAGATTTGTATATTTTAGATGATAAAAGATTGTCAAAAAAATTGGTAGAAGAGTTTGCACTTGAATGGAAAAAAGAAGTTGAAAAGGCTAAGAAAGGAAAGAAACCATCATTGATAAAAGCTCTAAATAGAATGCTTGGGTTCAATTTTTGGTGCGCAGGGATCTCTAGATTCTTTGGTGATACTTTACAGGTCTTGTCACCTTTGGTAATTCAGGTATTTTAGAATTTATTATCATTTCTTTAATGGAATGTCTATTTGTAATCAATTCATCTTTCGAGAATTTGCAAATGAAGCACGTGATATGTGTCAAACGAGGAATCAAAGATTGTTTTTTTTAACGAGTATTTTACTATTTGACTACTACACATACATAGGAAATTTTGATATTCTCGGTGAGCTCATTCTATGCTAAAGTTCATAATACAGATGCGCCGCCAATATCTAATGGATTCATCCTTGCAACGATACTGTTTTTTATGCAAATGGGATCAACTTTTTTCAGCATTTGGTGCCTCTGGAGAACTGACCAAACCGGTTTCATGACACGTACAATTTTAATTACTACTATCTATCGAAAAGCAATGGTCCTTAGTTGTAAAGCTCGTAATTCATTTACTATTGGTAGAATTACAAATTTAATATCAACAGATACAACTAGACTTGATTTTTTTTGTTCATATTTTCATTTATTATGGAGTGCTCCACTTCAACTTTCAATAGCACTCGCGTTGTTGATACTTAACATTGGTCCATCGGCGTTAGCAGGTTTTAGTTTTTTGGTCATTACTGGACCATTACAGGGAAGAGTGATGTCGGCATTGGCATCCACACGCAGTAAAGCAGCAAAGGTTACCGATGAACGTATTAAGTTAACACAAGAAATTTTACAAGGAATTCGAGTTATAAAATATTATGCTTGGGAAGATAGTTTCTTAAAGACTTTAAATAAATTACGTGATAAAGAACTTGGATATACTAAATTTATATTAATTATTCGCGCGATTGTCACAGGAGTTGCGTCGGTATGCTTTTGATAAAATTATTAAAATGTGCTCATATGTAATTATCATTGATATTAATTTACTCTTTTTATAAATAGGTGATGCCAGTTTTTGCTAGTATTCTCTCTTTTGTAGTATTTGTACTTGCCGGTGGTACACTTACATCTGAATTAGTATTTTCATCCTTGGCACTCTTTAATATTATTCGTTTACCTCTAAAACTTTTACCTATGGTTATTGCCGTAGCAACCGATGCTTGGGTTTCACTTGGTCGTATTCAAGAGATATTATTAGCCGAAGAATTAGAATATTCACCAAAAATTGATTTTAATGATAAATTTGCTATTAAAGTAATAAATGGTGAATTCGTATGGGAGGGTTCCCCTGTTTCTGATAAGAATGCTCAAAGAATTCCCAATGATCAATTCACGGAAAGTTTATCTACCTATTCTTTTATTTCTACTGATGATGTTGATGATGAGAATATAGAACATTCACCTATATTGACACCTCAATTACGTCTTAGTGATATTAATCTTACCATTTCTCGTGGAACTCTTGTTGCTATTGTGGGTTCTGTGGGCTCAGGAAAATCTTCACTATTATCAGCATTGGTTGGTGAAATGAAAAAAGTCAGTGGAGAAATAATATTTGGTGGTACTGTTGGATATTGTCCACAAACTGCTTGGATACAAAATGCTACACTCAGAGAAAATATTACTTTTGGACTACCATTTGATGAAGAAAAATATCAACGAGTAATAAAGGATTGTTGCCTTGAACCTGATTTTGCGATTTTACCAGCAGGGGATATGACAGAAATTGGAGAAAAGGGAATTAATCTTTCCGGAGGGTATGTTAAAATATAAAAGGTTTTTCTTTTGACTTTTAAATGCTAAAACTTTTATCATTTAGACAAAAGCAACGCATAAATATTGCAAGAGCTGTATATTTTGATGCTGATATTGTTTTGTTGGACGACCCATTATCGGTAAATTTTTATCATTAAAATTGATCCTCATTAATTATTACTACAGTACTAATTTCTGATAATACTTAATAGGCTGTTGACGCGCACGTTGGCAAATATCTATTCACAAATTGTATACAGGGATCACTTGCAAAAAAAACAAGAATCTTAGTCACACATCAATTACAACTATTATCTCAAGTAGATTATATCATTTGTATGGAAGATGGGGAAATTGTAGAGCAAGGAACATATGAAGAGCTGATGAATGCTAATAAAAGCTTTGCAAAATTAATATTGGAGTATGGTGAATCCAAAGATGAGATGACGACGATTAATATTGAAACAGATGAGCCGACGGAAAAAAAATTTTTTGCGTCACCTATTCCATCTGCATCGTCACAAGGATTAATGTCGTTAGAAGAACGAACAACGGGTGCCGTTGCTGACAAGATTTATATAGCTTATATAAGAGCTGCAGGTGGTTTGGTATTGATACCATTAATTTTATTTTTATTGGTAATGATGCAAGGAAGCAATATCGGGTTTGTGTCTAATATTTTTAATATTTGAGGCTACATGAATTGGATATGCTCTAAGATCTTTTTTATTACACCTTTTAGAAGTAATTTATGGCTTTCATTTTGGACAAGTAATAATTTTGCCTTAACGACCGAACAATACGTAAGCGTCGCGTTACAATGTTGTTAGATATGTGATGTTTATGTTATAATTCTTTTGCAACTTTGAATATAGATGTCGGTTTACTGCGCATGGGGTGTTGCAGAAAGTATTTTCAGTGTTTTGGTCTGTTTAACACTATCCTTTGCTGGAATTGCCGCTGCCAGAAATTTGCATAATCAGGCAATTCAACAAATTTTAAGAACACCGATAAACTTCTTTGAAACGACACCTTTAGGTCGAATAATAAATCGGTATTATATATATTATTTAACTTCACTTTAATATATTCCTGATGATAATTCTCTCAATCATTTTTCTTATAGGTTCAGCAAAGATATTGATTCCTGTGATAATTTGATCACTGAGTCATATCGAATGTTTTTCAGCACTTTAGCGACCGTCTTCGGGACTTTTGCACTAATAATCGGAGTTTTTATATGGTTTCTTTTGCCTTTTATACCACTTACTATATTATATTATTGCGCCGCTATTTATTTTAGAGCAACAAATCGTGAATTGAAACGTAGGTTTTAATATTATATAAAATATTCGTATTTTTGGCTGATTCTAGAACGTTTTTCTTATGATTTGTTTTAGGCCTCGACTCAATATTAAGATCTTCACTTTACGCTCATTTTTCCGAATCTTTAACCGGTTTACCAACAATTAGAGCATATAGAGAACAAGCACGATTCATAAAGTATGAAATTTTTCGAACAAAATTATACTAACAGTATTGATCATATTGCCACTAATAAATTTACTAATAAATTTAACGTGATATATAGTACCAATGAGCGTTACATAGATTTAGAAAATCGAGCATACTTTATGCAATTTTCTGTCAATAGATGGCTTGGAATTCGTCTTGAAACCATTGCAAACTCATTGATTTATTGCGCAAGTCTATTAGCAGTTATACAAAGATTTCAAGTGGAACCTGCAATTATTGGATTAATTCTTAGTTATGCAACGCAAGTTACAGCGGACTTTAATTGGTGTGTTCGACAATTTGCTGAAGTAGTAAGTGTTTTGTTTCTGCTACTGTATAAACTGAAGTAAAGGTTTATTAAGCTTTCTTATGTTCTTATATAATCACTTGTGTTTTATAATTAGGAAGCAAATATGAATGCAGTAGAGCGTTTAGTGCATTACACGGATAATCTCGAAAGTGAGCCTGCATCAATGATTCCTGATAATAGACCACCATCTGAATGGCCTGTTAAAGGAGAGATATTTATAAATAATTTGGTTATGCAATATGGACCTGATAATCCACCAGTGATAAAAGGCGTTACAATCCATATAAAAGATTGTGAAAAAAT